GTGTGTGTGTGTGTGTGTGTGTGTGTGTGTGTGTGTCGTGTGTGTGTGTGTGTGTGTGTGTGTGTGTGTGTTTGTGTATGTGTGTACATACATACATACATAGATTCATATAAGGTCAATTGACGTGACGGTACATACACTATAAGTGATCCTGTGACGGTTGAGATATAGGTAACAGTTTGGTGCTCTTGGCTACAGTAGAGAGCCGTTGCCGACGATAAACATGCACATTCGAATACACACATACAAATACACATACATACATATGCAAACACACAAGTCACACAGAAAACAATACTCGTACATGCACACATACAAACATACACATAAACACACAAGTATACAAAGCATTTAAAGCAAGCATGCCCGTATTTATACAAACACGCACACTAGAGGCAGACACAGACACACAGGACACTCAGATAAAGTCACATACAAGCATACACATGCACGCACACACACAAGGTAGCTCAGCTCACGTTTAATCAGCCGGTCGAAGGCGGCGTTCTTCTTCCTGTCCAGCCCCCTTTCCCACGGCTTCTTGGCGATCTTGCCGTGTCTCAGTGCGTACCGCTCAACCGTTCCATTACCATGCAGCCTATCATGATCACCCCTTGCGCCACAATCACCACTGCTATTACCACTACCACGACTACGCATGCGTGACTCCGCATGATGTTTATGTGTGCGGTACACAGGAGAAGCTGGTGTCTTTAGACGCCTACAGCTACGCCTATCGTCATCACTTGCGCCACCATCACTTCTACTCTTGCCACTGTCACTTTCACACACGGGTGACCCGGCATGTGGCCGAAGTAAGCGATGTCCAAAAGAAAGTGGTCTCGTCAAACGTCTACAGCCACGCCTGCTTGAGCTCGCACTCTCACTGCCTCGGTCTCTCGCACTGTCCCCGTCTACTTCCGGGTTACCCGCACTCATATACTCATGCTCAGCTCCGATAGACTCACTCTCACTCTCAATGACCTTATTCCTACCTACACGCCTGTGCCTACCCACAGCTTGGGCCGGTGTGTCGTTCTCAGTTCCGGTAGACTCACTCTCACTCCCATTATCTCTGTGCCTACCTACATCCTTGTGGCTACCCACCCCTCGGTCATGCCTACCGTTCTCAGCTCTTGCCAAGCCACCTATGCCTGCACATTGCGTGTCGGTCGACGCCAAAATTGGACCCCGCGCACATTTACGCTGTCTGGTTTTCTCCGCGCTCACATCCACATCCACATTCGCATCCACATCCACAACGGTTTCCGATGCACAATAAGAAGACGGCTTTCTCCCTCGCTTTCCACCGCTCATACGCCTACTGCATGCTTGTTCTAAGTCGCTGTCACTCGCGCTAACAACTATCTCGCTTGCTGGAGAACCCCTTAACTGTCTGGTGTGTTTGTGATTGCGGCCTGCATCACTGAAAGCCTCTGCCTCTCGCCTTGCACCCCTTCGTCTGGCCACAGCTCCACGCTCTATAGTTGCACCGTTTTCTAAATATGCCTCCCCATTCACACGCCCCATGCCTGAAGTGTTTGTTGACAACGTACTCATGTCTCCGAACTTATTCACTGCAGGGTCGACCGCATATGCATCCACATCTACTATACATGCATTGTTCTTCACGCCCGCACTATCCGGTACGTATATGTTCGCAGATAACACTTTGCGCGTACGTGTGGGTTCATGCCTTTGTTGCACGCCACTACGAACGCTGTATATGCTGCCATGACCCTTTGCGTCGTCTTCCGAGGAGATGGGACTAATAGCCCCTATCTCTGCACACATGGTATCACCATGGTAACGAGGTGTAGACGTATTCATGGATTTTGCACACTGCGTTAGGATGCACATGGGGAGAGGTATAGCTAAATGAGCGTTTTACATTGACATGTTATTTGTGTGTGTACGAATGATCCACACGAGTATATGGGCACACATAGAATAATTGCAGATCTGTGCGTGTTGTATACCAATGACATTTCTGTGCATCTCAATACGACACACAGGGGTACACATGAGAGAACTCACGGTTATGTAAAGGAAAAATCCGTGTACCACTCCTGTGTATATGGATGCACCACACAAGCATAAATGTATACAAAAAAATAATACACACGTACCATATCTATACACTCATGCATACAACATACACACATGCACAATATAAAATTCTACACATGTATATGAAATATATACACATGTATATGAAATATATACACTTGTATATATGTACATGTATATATGTACATGTAGTCTACAAACACAGACAAATTCTATCTATCTATCTATA